ACTATAGGATTCCTGCTGGTTTTCCACACACCACAGGATCAACCACCTCTGTAGTTCACCGACCACAGACTGACTATTCAAAAATAGCTGCTCTGCCAAGTGGCAGCTGGCTCCACCCCCATCTCCATGGTGACTCAACTCAAAGCAAGCTAAGCCGGTCACCATTCCCCAACACAAGGCAATACCACCTACTTACCATTACTAATCCTTATCTAAAACAATACATAACTGTAGGAATAAAAAATGTACACATCATTACAGTTACAAATTTGGAAAGCAAAATTCAAGACATGGAATATGATAATTGGGAGATTTCAACGAAGTTATCAACAGTAAATTGGATAAGACTAAAGTCAGTAAAAAGAATAAAAAAGAAGAAATGAGTACATTACCAAAAAAAATTTTGAAACTAAAAAAGGACTTTGATATTGACGATGCGTGGTATAAAGACTGCTTTATGACTGTCTGGGCAGGGGGGTCAAACAATATAACTGGACAGGGGGCAAATAGAGCCCACCAACTGTCCCTCCAATATAAAGGATTTACGCCACTGGCACCTATATAACTGTATGAGGGAATGTCTCTCTATTTAAACTTCCGCTGCCACCATAAGTATAAGTACAGGAACACTCTAGCTATTCAAAAATATCAAAATTACTTCTGGGACCACCAAGTACTGTGTCTTTTAAATGGCTTCTTTGAAGGAAAACAGGTGAGGTTGATTTAAAAGGAAAAGAGACTAAATCCACAAATGTACACTTGACTCAGGCTTAAGTTTCAAAATAAACAAGGAAAGTTTATTGAATAAAGTACAGAATAAAGTGTAAATGCAGTGTACTAAGCTTGGCTGTTACAGATAAAATGTTCTGGTTCTTGAAAGCATAACGGTTGCATGAGAATGGTTCTTTCTTTGTTACAAACTACAAAACCCAGCTATTTTTCCCTAAATAGCTGTACCCAGTTTGCTACAGCTCACTTGGCTGGCAAACTTCAGGCAAACTGCCTATTCTTAACACGAACTCCTAAAAGCTTCTGTAACCCTGCTCTCACTCTAACATCAACAAGACTGACTCACTGAAAAAGCTTCTTTCTTTCCCTCCAAACAGTCTAACTCCGCCCCCCTTTAATAAACCAATCCTGGCTGCTCTAAGGCTGGCTCAGGCCTAGGCCACTCCCCCTCTCTGAAATGGAGCTTTCCCTAAACTAAAATGGCTCCTGCTGCCCTCTGCCAGGCCTTCTAAGGCTGAAACTAACTAGCCTGCCTCTCCTAGACCCTGCCACCCAGGCTGGCAAGGTAAGGGATCTTCACACGTGGCATACACACAATGAGAAAGAAAAAGACGTTACCTTTTTCTCAGATAGATATCAAGGTTGGTCCAGAATAGATATGTTCTGGTCTTCAAAAACACTTACCTCAAGAGTATAAAAAATCAGAATTTTACCTAGGGATCTGTGAGACCATGGTGCATTAGAAGTTATAATTAACCAAAAACAAATATATAAAAGATGGAGGCTGGATGATGGTCTTCTTAAAACAGAGGAGGACATAGTAAACAATACTAAATTTGTCAAAGAATTTTTTTAATTCAATTACATCTCCGACATAAAAATAGAAACTCTATGGGACTCTTGCAAAGCCATAATGAGAGGCCATTTAATACAACAGAAAGCAATTAGAAATAAAAATTGAAAACGGAAATTACAAGTATTAAATAAAGCAATAGAAAGAGAAGAAGAAGAATTAAAATAAAATGTACAAGATAAAGAAACAAAGAAGTCTCTTGAAAAATCAAAACAACAAAAACATCAATTAGAACTTGAACAGACAGCGAAACAATTAAAATTCATTAAACAAAAAGAGTTCCAAAATGCAAACAAACCGGGGAAGTGGCTTTCCTGGAAATTAAGAAAGAAAAAACAAGCAAACCAGATTAAAAATTTAAAATAAGGAGATAACGACAGATGAGGAGATTATAAAATAATTCCATAAGTTTTATGCAAACCTGTATGCTAAAGATCAAATTAAGATGGAAGAATTATCAGCCTACCTGGGAAAACAAAAACTTGAAAAAATAACGGATGCACAAAGAGAATAATTAAATAAAGAAATAACAAAATAAGAAAACTACAGGGCAATTAAAAAACTTAACAGGATTCTTACCCGGCAGACATATAAGAGATAACCCGAGAAACATCCTTGACATAATTGAATTTTATGAGACACACCACCAAAAAGAACTGACCCTGATGGCGATCAACACTAAAAAGGTCTTTGATAATCTAAATTGGGATTTTTTTAAGGCAATATTCAGAGAATTAGACATTGGATACAATTTCTCAAATGCAATAGAAGCATTTTACAACGAACAAAAAGCAGTTTTATGGGTAAACAGAATACCATCTAAGGAAATCACAATAGAGAAGGGCACCAGACAAGGTTGCCCATTATCACCACTTAGAAATTCTGCTAAAAAATATTAGGGAAGATGATAATTTAATTGCCCCAAAGATTGGAAAACAAACATATAAATATAGAGCATTCGCAGACGATTTGATTTGTATAATCGAAGAACCAAGAGAAAACATTGCGAAATGGTTAAGAAAAAATAGAGTGATATGGAAATCTTGCAGGTTTTAAATTGAATAGAAAAAAGACAATGATACTAACGAAGAATATGTCTAAGATCAATCAAGAAAAATTAAAAGAAAAAACGGGAATACAAATATAATCAAAAATAAAATATCTAGGAATTCAGCTAACCTCAAAAAACTCCCAACTTTTTAAAAAAATAACTACGAAACAGAATGGTGTGACACTGTGAGATCAAAAAAGATCTTAAAAATTGGACAAATCTAAATCTATCAATTATGGGAAAAATAGCCACGATTAAAATGAATGTTCTGCCAAAATTACTGCATCTTTTTCAAAACCTACTAATAATTAGGAAAGAATGATAAATTATTTAAAGATTGGAAAAAAAGAGATATCAAAATTTATCTGGAAAGGAAAAAAAGCAAGAATAAAATACAGACACCCAACAGATTTGAAAACAAAAGGAGGATTTGGTTTACCAGACCTAAAGCTTTATTATGGGGTAAGTGGCCTAGTCTGGCTAAAAGATTGGATTCTTCGGAAGAATGAAAAGCTACTTGCACTAGAAGGTTTCGATCTAAGAGTTGGATGGCATTCGTACTTATGGTACAACCAGACTAAAAAGGAAAAAATAATAATAACCATTACGTTAGATCGGCCCTATTGAAAATCTGAAATAAATATAAATCTAGATTATACCCCAGAACTCCATTGTGGATCTCTCCACTGGAAGCGGGACAAATAAGGCTATTGGGATGGTCAAGATGGCCCACATATAAAGAAATTTTAATTAGAAAAGACAATATATTACAATTAAAAACAAAAGATGAGATAGCCAAACAATATAATTCAGTATCATGGTTCCAACATCTAAAATTAAAATAATATTTCAATAAGTACAAAGAATTAGATTTCATGGGAAAAGATGAATTTTGGGAACAAATCTTACTGAAAGACAATAGATTAATTTCCAAGATCTACAACAAATTATTAGACTGGGCCACAGAGACAGAAAATGTAAAAGAATGTATGATAAAATGGGCTACTAATATAGGAAGATCAATAAAATTCAATGAATGGGAACAAATATGGGGAAAAATAAATTATACTTATTCGACGGATCTGAAAGAAAACTGGTTTAAGACGTTTTATAAGTGGTACGTAACACCACAAACATTGGATCTAATGTACAAAAATGTCCAAAATAAATGTTGGAAATGTGAATCACAAGTGGGCACATTTTACCATGCATGGTGGACTTGCCCTAAAGTTAAACCATATTGGAAAATTATACAAGAATCATGTGAAAAAAATACTTAAAACGAAAGTGCAGATGAAACCAGAGTACTTCCTATTGGGACTAATAGACGAGGATTTAATACTTGATCAAAATAAGGATATTCTATTTACCTATCTTACCACAGCTGCAAGAATGGTACACACAAAGAAGTGGAAACAAAGTGACCTGGCAACAAAAAAAGAGTGGCTAAACAAAATCAAAGAAGTAAGAGATATGGATATATTGACTTTTGCTCTGAAAGAATCAAACGGAAGACCCATAAAGAAAACGGACTGGAAACTATTTGATGATTACATAGGAGAATCTAAGAGACAAAGTTGAGATAGAAGAGTAGAGGGGGGGAAAGGATAAGAGGAGAATATAAAAGAATATGGAGAGAGGAGAAAGATGAGAAGTAGAGAGAGCATCAAAGGAAGATACTCTACGTTAAACTGTGAAGGAGATTTGGAAGTCAATAAGACCCTCATCAGGGAACCCTCCCCCTTCCCCCTCCCCCTTTCCCCATTTTATTCCCTCCCAGGTGCCCCTGCTTCTACCTTGTATGTCAATCACCCTCCCCTTTTACCCTCTTTTACCCGACACTTTCCTTTCACCCTCCCCATTCCCTAATGTTTTCTTTTTTTATGCAAATGAAACTTTATGTTCAATAAAAATCATTTTTGAAAAAGGAATTGTGGGAGTTGAAGTCCAAAACACTCGGATGGCTCAGGTTTGCCTATGCCTGATCTATCTCCTGATGCATTCCATGGTTAGAAAACGGTGCCCTCTAGTGCATTGCTTCTCAACCTGTGGGTCCCAGGGTGTTTTGGCCTACAACTCTCAGAAATCCCAGCCAGTTTACCAGCTGTTAGGATTTCTGGGAGTTGAAGGCCAAAACATCTGGGGACCCACAGGTTGAGAACCACTGTTCTAGTGGCTGAGTCAAGGTACTAAATATATCCTATATTCCCGATGCATTCCATGGTTAGAAAACACCGCTCTCTAGTGTAGAACTCAGGTATTAAATGTATACTATACACTCATTGTATAGAAAACAGTGCCTTCTAGTGGTCGATACCAGGTATTATACAATTGCACAGAAACAAATATATATCTATATTGTTTTTATTATTTTACTATGGGATGGACAGGAAAGAGAGGCAGACACCCCACTCCAAAGTCTGGCTCATAATATGGCAGGAAGTCTCCAATGTCACTGGCACATCCGTGAGGTCATTTCCTTCTGTTGAAAAGAGAAAGCAGGCAAGGCGTTGGCAGTGGCCAAATGGAAAGAAAGTCAATAGCAAAACAGAGAGAAAACCTGAGGGGGAAATGGCAAGAAAGGCCCTAAGCCCAGCTCCTCGAGGTATTTCCCAAACCATCCAGGAGACTCACCAGTGGCTCCAGCTCTTTGGTGTCGATGAGGCCGAACTCCTTGACGAAATGGAAGAAGTGCTTGTAGCAGGTGTTGACGTGGGCCTCGGAGCCCATCTGGGCAATGCGCTCGAAGTGGTGGATGTAGACGTGGACGAAGACACGGAACAGGCGGGAGAGGATCTTCTTTGCTGCCGGGAGGAAGCTCTTGGGGAATGGTGTCCCTGAGAGAGAAAGAGACACGAAGATGACATGCCCATCAGTGACAATCACTGGGTTCTTTCCACAATGTGGATGCACCCCAGCTCATGGATTCCTAGGGGCTGGGTATGGGCAACATGTTCGTAACAGTGGTCCATGGCAGGAGGAGAGAGTCCACCAAAACGTTAGGAGGAACCTAAGAAGAGCACTGAACCATGGAATATGTATGACGGAGTCTCCACCTGAGACTGGATGGCCATCTAACCATTTATCCATCTAACTATCCATCTCTCCTACCAACTATCCACCCACCCATCTATTCATCCATCCATCTATCCATCTAACTATCTAGTGATGAATCCATCAATTCATCTAACCACCTATATCCATCTAGCCATCCACCTAACCATCTATCTATACATTCAACCATCCATATAATCACCTAACCATCCATTCATCCAACCATCTATACACCACCCACCCATCTATTCATTCATTCATCTATCTAACCATCTATCTATCTATCCATTCATCTAACCATCTACACACATACATCTACCCATCTAACCATTTATACATCTTGCACCTATACATCTAACCATCCATCCTTCTAACCATTTATACATACAGGTATCCATCCATCTATTCATCCATCTAACCATCTATACATTCATTCATCCATCCATATAATCATCTAACCATCCATCCATTCATATAACCATATTTGCATCCATCCATCTGCTAACCACCCATCCATTGATCCATCGATCTAAATTATCTATCCAACCATTCATTTAACCATCTACATACAAGCATCTAGCCATCTAACCATCTATCTATCCATCCATCCATCTAACCATCTATGCATCCATCCAAATATCCATCAAACTAACCATCTATAGGTTCTTGTGGGTTTTTTCGGGCTATAGGGCCATGTTCTAGAGGCATTTCTAGAGGAGAAATGCCTCTAGAACATGGCCCTATAGCCCGAAAAAACCCACAAGAACCTAGTGATTCCAGCCATGAAAGCCTTCGACAATACATTAATCATCTATACATTCATTCATCCGTCCATCCATATAATCATCTAACCATCCATCCATTCATATAACAATCTATGCATGCATCCATCCATCCATCTTCTAACCATCCATCCAACCACCCATCCATTGATCCATCCATCTATTCATCCATCCATCCATCTAACCATCTAATTATCCATCCATCCATTCATGTAACTGTATACAGCCATCCATTTAGCCATCTAGCATCTATACATCTAACCATCCATCCATCTACCCAGCTATACATCCATCCAACTATCCATCCATCTAACCATCTATACATCCATCCATCCATATAATCTTCTAACCATCCATATGTTCACATAACCATATATGCATCAATCCATCTTCTAAACATCCATCCATTGATCCATCCATCCATCAACCTGTCTCGATTCGTCCATTTATCTAACCATCTACATCCATCTATCTAGCCATCTAACCATCTATCTATCCAACCATCTATGCATTCAACTATCCAMCCATCTAACCATCTATACGTTCATCCATCCATATAACCATCTARCATGGTTCTGTCAGTGGGTTATTGTTCTATCAGTGGCTTTGTGGACTGAGTATTGTTTTTAATGACTGTTATGATAATTTGGTTATAATTAATTGCTACTGTTTTAACTCTGTATGTATTTATGGTTTTATACTGTGTTATTGATTGTGACATCAAATTGCTGCCTTTGTTAGCCGCTCTGAGTCTCCCCCCCCCCCCCGGGTAAAATGCTGTAAATAAATAAATAAATAAATCATTCAATCTAACCATCTATCCATCCATTCATCTAACCATCTYCATCCATCGATCCATCCAACTACCCAACTATCCATCCATTTAACCATCTATGCATCCATCCAACTATCCATTTATTTATTTATTTACCATATTTATACCCCGCCCTTCTCACCGCTTAGGGGACTCAGAACAGCTCACATATATAGGCAGCAATCCGACGCCACATGAACATACAAGTCAAATAAACATATACATTAAAACAATCACTAAAAACATACCAAACATTAAAAATCACTTATTTAAAATGCAATCCAATATCATAGTCCGAGGCCATTCCAATTGTCATTGCACCATTCTGTGTTCTCTTATCGCAATGTTACTGACCGAAAGCTTGGTTCCACATCTTTAGCTATTTCCTGAAAGTCCGGGGGGAGAAGGCTGATCTATCCATCTGACAATATATGCATTCATCCATCCATATAACCATCTATCCATCCATCCGTCTAACCATCGATCCATCCATTTATATGACTATCTATATCCATCAATCCATCCATCTAACCAACTATCAATCTATTCATCTAACCATCTACATCCTTCAGTCTAGCCATCTGACCATCCATCCATCCATCCCTGTAACCATTTATCGTGTGCTTCTATGATCTCCCAAAGTGGCCCCGCTGAAGGCCCTCCTCACCAACGTTTGTTGGGAAGAGCTCCTCGTTGTTGATCTGGACCTCGATCCAGTCCATCAGGAGGCCCACATACTTGGGGGCCGAGAGGGCAATGGGCTTGCGGTGCTTCTCGTCCTGCCACCGGTACTCGTACTTTGGGCCACCGGACATGATGGGGCAGGACTGCTCCGTGCAGTGGTCGCTGACTGTCCCATAGATGAGGTTGACCCGGTTGAAGAAGTCCACCACATGGACGGCCACCCAGTCATTCAACTCTTCGCCCGGTGGCAGCTGGACTGCCAACTTCAGGTCCAGGCCAGCATTGAGCGAGGCCTGAGCCTTCTTGTGCAGTTCGAAACGCAGCGTCCCGGGTTCAAATTTCTTCTTGGGCCGGAAGGTCCGGTCCTTGCTGAAAACCTGCTTCAAGGGGTTGGACATTGGAGGCTGCAGAAGCTGTTGATCTAGCCAGGAAGGAGCCAAACGCTTCAGTCGGCCTCACAGATCGTTCCAATCTATACATATAATAAAAGTGAAATTGTGTATGTGTGTGACTGGGGTGCCCACTTACACAGGCTCCCACTTCCACAAATAGCTATAGCTCCCACTACTCAGAAGACACCCATGGCCCTCCCTCCAATGACATTGCAAGTTATAACAAGCACCATAAACATATACAAGAGCCCTGCGGATGTCCTCCACAAACACCATGCTGCCCACCACCCAAGTGAAGGCTTTCATACGGGGACAACTTCCTCCTAGATTTTATGTGTTTCCTCCACCACAGACATCCCAGTGTTTCTGACTCTCTCCATTAGTGTGGAATTTGCATGACCCCACACACTGCCTCTCCCTTAACCCGTTCCTACGGCACACAGCAAACAGAGGAATTGATCAGCACATGAACATACTAGAGAAGTTTGAGGAGAATTCACCATGATTTATAGGAGTTGTAGGTTCTTATTAGATATTAGGTTCTGACCACTCCAAAAGCAAAATCCTAGTAATAAGAAAATTCCACTGAAAAAAGGAAAGTAAATTGATTTTAAAATTAGAACCCCTGGCCCCATCTGGATTAGAGAAAGCAATTTAATTTCTTCTTTTTCCATAAGCCCTGTTCCATCTACAGCGACCTTGAATGTTAGCGGTCTGTTCTTACATGTTCTCAAAGCTCATAACAACTTCAGCCTTTGCTTTCAACCTTTCTGCCAATGACATGGTTATTTTTCAGGTGAGTCAGTTCTGCAGACCTTTCCTCTAATCCGGCATGTACATGCCACGTTTAGGATACAAATATTAATAATATTAATAGTAACATTAACAGAATGCTCTATTAACAAATAATGGTTAAATAGAACTATGAAATATGATCTATGATCAAATGATCTATGTTTAAATATTCTTGTTATGCTTTTATATTATGTGTTAATGTTTTTAGATGTTTTATGGTGTTTTTGGGCATAGAATTGTTTCCATTGTAAACCGCCCTGGGTCGCCTGGAGGCTGAGAAGGGCGGTATACAAATACAGTAAATAAATAAATAATAAATAATAATAATAAATGTATAGTTCACCTGAAATCTAAGAGCACCACTACAGCCAGAGCATATTATGAACCCAAACAATGATGGATCTGAACCAAACTTGGCATGCATACCTGATATGCTCCCATTTGAATACTGTTGGGTTTTGTGGGGAATTAGCCTGGACATTTTGGAGTTGTAGGTACTGGGATGTATAGTTCACCTGCAATCAATGAGCACTCTGAACTCCACCAAAGATGGAATTGGACCAGACTTGGCACACAGAGCCTCCATGACCAGCAAAAAATACTGGAGGTCTTTGGGGAAAATTCACCTTGATTTCAGGTAGTTCAGAGAGCATTGTGAACTCAGTCCTCATCCATGTTCCTTTCACCACCTCAGACCTCCTGAATTGGAAAAGGAACACAGCTCCACTGTCCCAGGACCCATCAGCTATGGTAGAACTCTTTAGGACCATCTTCCTTACACATCGCCCAACTTGGGGGGATGTGATGACCCTGCTGGCTTCTCTTCTCACCCAAGCAGAGAAGCACCGCCTCCTGGCAGCAGCTCAGGCAGAGGTCATGAGGGCAGATGTGGATGATGGGAGGGATAGTGAGTTGGTTTTTCCCACCAAAGATGATCCTGGCGGGGATTACAACATTGATGCTGGTCGGTTGGCATTGAAGGGTTTCCATTGTGCCATCTTGGTTGCTCTGCCCTTTGTCTATCCCCGTGCCTTGAACCTTTCCAAGTTCTATGACCTGCGCCAAGAGCCCACTGAGAGCCCCTCTGACTTCTACGACAGGCTTTGTCGTACAGCTAAGCAGTGGACCAACATTGACCCCATTGACCCCCAATTCCAGCAAACATTGAACTCTTTGTTCATTGGAAGGTCATATAGGTACATCCGGCTCAAGCTACAGAAGCTGGAGGCAGGGATGGGATGCCCATCTCCCAGTTGATCAACATTGCCTTTAAAGTCTTCCACAACAGGGAGGACACAGCTGCCCAGAAGAAAGAGGACGATCGCAAGGCCCAGGCAGAGGTCCAGACCACCAGCATGATTGCTGCCTTGGCAGAGAGGGATCGGGGCATTGCAGCCAGGGTCAATCAGAACAGGCCAGCTTGGAGGGACCGGGGCCAAGGGGGGCCGGGAGGGCAGAAGGAGGCTCGGTGTTTCCAGTGTGATGCCAAGGGGCATTTCAGGCGGGAGTGCCCTGAGCTCAACAGGAGGGGGGCGCAGGGGAGGGTCATGTGACTAAGAAAGCAGATTGTCTTTGCCCCCAGTAACCCCATTGTGCCACTTAAGATTGGAAGAAAGACTGTAGACTTTCTCTTGGACTTTGGGGCTACCCACTCAGTGGTCACAGAGGGGTTCAGGGGAACTGAGCTGGGGAGCAGGAAGACTCAGGTAGTTGGGGTTCTCAGGGAAAGAGGCAAGTAGGTCTTTTCTCAATCCCATGTAGTGCGAGGTGGGAGGGAAGATTTTGTCTCAGGAGTTCTTCTACATGCCTGAATGTCCTGTTCCCCTCTTGGGCTGAGACATTCTATGTAAGAATCCGGGCCCAGGTTGCCTTTGGGCCAGAGAAGATCATCTTGGCTGTCCCAGAGAAGGAAGGGTGGAGGGCACAAGCTTTCTTGCTCCATCAGCCTAGCCCAGAGGTTGACTTGGTTCCCTTGACCATCCTGCAGATGGGGTCCCAGGGAGGGCCAAGAATGTCGCCCCAGTCACCATCGCTCTCAAGCCAAATGTCACACCCCCTAGGATCCCTCAGTACAGGATTCCCCTAGAGGCCCGCAAGGGGCTCCAGCCTATCATTGACAATTTCCTACAGCACTCTCTGCTGAGAGAGTGTGCCTCTCCATACAACACACCGGTCCTTCCTGTCAGAAAACCTCACACGAACGAATTTCGTTTTGTGCAAGACCTTAGGGCCATCAATGCTATCCTGTGGTGCCAAATCCTTGTACTCTTCTCTCCACTATTCCTCCTTCTTGTTCATGCTTTACTGTCTTGGATTTAAAAGATGCGTTTTTTTTTCCATTCCCCTTCACAGATAGTCAGGAGATCTTTGCCTTTGAGTGGGAGTATGTGAGCATGGCCAGGTGAGTGCAGCTTTGCTGGCAAGTTTTGCCTCAGGGCTTTACCAGCTCCCCTATGATCTTCAGCCAGAGCCTTGCCTCAGAGTTAGAGAAATGGCCGGATCATGACCAGGGGGTTCTTCTTCAGTACATAGATGACCTTCTCCTGTGCACAGATGACCGGGACACCTGTGAGTGGCTCACCATCAGTCTCCTCAACTTCCTGGGCGAGGCTGGCTTCAAGGTTTCCAAGAAGAAGGCCCAGATCTGCAAGGATACGGTGAGGTATTTGGGGTTTGATGTCTCCCAAGGGCAAAGGGCACTAGGACCTGAGAGGAAGGAAGCCATCTGCAGGGTCCGGGAGCCTAAGACCAAGAAACAACTGAGGGGCTTTTTAGGCATGGTGGGGTTCGGTAGAATCTGGCTGCCAAACTTCGGACTGCTTGCCCAGCCCCTCTATGAGGCAACAACCGGACCAGAGACTTTCCTTGTTTGGTCTGCAGAATGCAGGGCTGCCTTTAATGCCATCAAGAAAGCCCTCATGTCTACCCCAGCCCTGGGACTTCCAGACATGGCCAAGCCCTTCTATCTCTACGTCCATGAACGTCAGGGGGTGGCTGCGGGGGTGCTGACCCAGCCTTTGGGCAGCACCAAAAGGCTAGTTGCTTATTTTTCCAAGCAGCTGGACCCCACCAGCCTTGGGTGGCCTGCCTGCCTTAGAGCTGTGGCTGCCACTGCCATGGTAGCTGAAGAGGCCAGGAAGCTGACATCGGGCCAGCCAATGACAGTCTACATTCCCCATAGCGTCCTGGCTGTCCTAGATGCCAAGGGGACCAACTGGCTGTCAGCAGGCCGGCTCACTCGCTACCAGGCTCTTTTCATCGACCAGGGAGACCTCACCTTGGCCACCACCACGTGCCTCAACCCAGCCACCCTGATGCCCATCGAGATCGCAGCTGGAGATGACCAGGAGCCCCACGAATGCATCGCCACCATTGAGAAAGTCTACTCCGGCCGGCCGGACATCAAGGACCAGCCCCTTCCAGATGCAGACCTAGAGTTCTTCACAGACGGCAGCAGCAGCGTCCACCATGGGGAGAGAAGAACAGGGTATGCAGTAGTCACTCTATGGGACACCATAGAGGCAGATCCGCTTCCTCCTGGCACCTCTGCCCAAAAGGTGGAGCTCATCACCCTCACCAGAGCCTTGGAGCTGGCTGAGGGAAAGACTGCCAACATCTATACTGACTCTAATTTTGCCTTCAACGTCCTCCATGCCCATGGAGCCATCTGGAAGGAGAGAGGTCGAGGGGTCATTCGGCCATTTTCTGGGGGTCGCGAAGCCGCATTGGCTGGCCACACCCCCTCCAAAATGGCAGCCAACCCCCTGAGCCACTGGCACTCCCGCGCGCGAAGCCATCCGCCCGTCCCTTGCCTCCTTCTGATGGGGGCTCTGTTTGCCAAGGTCTGTTAAATTCTGTATTTGTGGGGTTCAGAATGCTCATTAATTGCAGGAAGTACTGCAACTCCCACATGTCTGAATGTATTTTCCCCAAACCTCTGTGTTGTCCGTTGGTCATGGGAGTTATGCATTGCAAGCTGGGTGGGTTAAATTCTATATTTGTGGGGTTCAGAATGCTGATTGATTGTGGGAGGTACTGCAACTCCAGTAATTTCTGTTGGTTATGGGAGTTCTGTATGCCAAGCTTCTTCAATTCCATTTTTGTTGGAGTTCAGAATGCTCTCTGATGGCAGAAGAATTATAAATCCCAGCAACTGCAACTCCAAAATATCAAGATCCATTTCCCCAAACCCCACCACTGTTCAAATTTGGGCATATTGAGTATACATGCCAAGTTTGGTCCAGATCCATAGTCATTTGGGTTCTCAGTGCTTTCCGGATGTAGGTGAACTACATCTCCCATAAATTACTGTCAATTCCTCCCAAACTCCTCCAGTATTTTCTGTTGGTCATGGGAGTCCTATGTGCCAAGTTTGGTCCAGGTCTGTAATTTGTGGGGGATCTCAGTGGTCTGTGGAAGTCAGAGCTGAATTGGTTGAAGGTACTGCAAATCCCATCATTGTTTTTGTGATTAGTCACTATGCTTTAATTATGTTCAATTTGTAACAATGAAAAAACATCCTGCATATTAGATATTTGCATTAGAATTCATAAGAGTAGCAAAATTATTTATGAAGTAGCAACGAAAATATGGTTGGGGGTCACCACAACACGAGGAACTTTATTTGGGGGTCACCGCATTAGAAAGGTTGAGAACCACTATGCTAACCACTTACACAGCAGCAAAGGTATCTGGCATCCGAGCTTGGGTCCATCATTCCAGGTTGAAGCGAGCCCCAGAGCCAGAGCCTGAGCCAGCTGAGAAAGAAGAGGGCGAGGATCAGTGGACCGTTGAGCCGGGAGAGGACCTGCAGCTGCTGTTCCAGAAAGTGCCACAGCAGGAACCCCCTCCCACGGACCAGCCTAACCCACCACCTTCTGAGGCCCCCAGGAAGAAGAGACGTGCACATGGCAGGAGAACCACTTCCAACCTTCCTACCTAATTTCAGCTTCCTCGCACCACGGGAAACCATTTTTCCATCACTTCTGGGTTTTTGACAGCTCCTTTGACAGCTGTCAAAAGTTTGCAACAGCTGATCAAGCCAGCCCGCTCTGAGAAACTTTCTGCTTTCGCTTTCCACTGAGCCTCATTCAACAGGAGCGCGCCCCAGCGGAGCTGTTCTTTTCAGCACCATTTTGAGACCGTGAGTCCATTTATTCATATATTATTCCCTGAGCGGAGCTGTCCTCAGCACCACGCTATTTAACATGTTTTTCCTTGCCTTTTCCTGCCTAATGTTGCTGAGCCAGCATACAGGGGGAGCCCTGTGCTGTATGAGTGGCTCTCAACAAAAACTAACTTTTGGCAACAGTTGGCCTCTAGATGTTCTAAATGTTTATGATTTCTGTTTATCAAGCGGGATCACTGCCACAGATCTGTTTTCCACATGTTTAATTGGGGTTCCAGAATCTCTGGAAGTTTTTAGAAATTATACTATTTTTCAGGCCATTCCCTCTAAGCCCATGTCTTACAGAGACCTCTCAGTTTGGGGAAGGGTTACTAGAGAGAAGGAGCCTGGCATGGTGGCTATCAGATTGGCCCACAGCCCCCATACACCCCACTGTTTTCAAATTCTTACTTGTGTGGAAAAGTGCCAAAAATTACCCAGGGACAATTCACTAAATTGCACTTCTGTAGAAATGCTGCCCTATATGAATGCCCATTTGGTTCTGCCCACAGGGTGGTTTTTCCTGTGTGGGCAGACAGCCTATAGTTATCTACCAGCCAATTCATCCTTGGGGAATTGTGCTCTGGGAAGGGTGTCACTTTTCTTGCCCTCCAAAAATGACCTGGAGCTGGCACACTCCTTGGGTCATGGGGCAAGGTCCATTCAATCCATGGACCCAAATTGTGATCCCTCTGTGGTCCTAAGGAGCATTCCTCAATTTGTGGCAGCTGCCCTGTTCACCCCAGGGGTGGCAGCTGGCATGAATTACAGGGCCATTAAACATCTGGCCTGTACTCTGGTCAAGAACATCAATTTCACCTCACAAACCTTAGGCTCAATGGCTACTGAAATGCATGAGCTGAGAGATGCTGTCTTAGATAATCGTGCTGCCATTGATTTCTTGCTGTTGAAGAATCATTATGGCTGTGAGAGTGTGTGCCACATGTGCTGTTTCAACCTAACTGACCAGACCCCTGTAGTCCACAAGCCATAGAGGGCATGAAAAACTTAGCAGCAGGAATTCAGGAAACCACTGGCTTTGATCTTAGCTTTTTGACAGATTGGCTTCCTTCCTTAGATTGGCTAAAGAAAGGCTTTCTGATCTTTCTGGGGATCATCCTTTCTCCTTTTGAGCTGCTGCTGGTCACACATTCCCACTCTATTCAAAATTTGTCAGAAAGGGACACGTTCAAATCCATCTCAGCAGATGCCCCTGATGCCACTGGCTGGGTACAATGTTCTGGTGGAAACTTTAAGTAGACGGAGTCTACGTCAGTTTCCGAGGGGGGAAATGAGGTTGGATCATCAAATAGCTATAGCTCCCACTACTCAGAAGACAATCATGGCCCTCCCTCCAATGACATTGCAAGTTATAACAAGCACCATAAACATATACAAAAGCCCTGCGGATGTCCTCCACAAACGCCATGCTGCCCATCACCCAAGTGAAGGCTTTCATACGGGGACAACTTCCTCCTAGATTTTATGTGTTTCCTCCACTACAGACATCCCAGTGTTTCTGACTCTTTCCATTGGTGTGGAATTTGCATGACCCCACACACTGCCTCTCCCTTAACCCTTTCCTATGGCACACAGCAAACAGAGGAATTGATCAGCACCTGAACATACTAGAGAGGTTTGGGGAGAATTCACCATGATTTATAGGAGTTGTAGGCTCTTATTAGATATTAGGTTCTGACCACTCCAAAACCAAAATCCTAATAATGAGAAAATTCCAATGAAAAAAGGAAAGTAAATTGATTTTAAAATTAGAACCCCTGGCCCCATCTGGATTGAAGAAAGCAATTAAATTGCTTCCATACAGAACCTTCATGCGTCTTTTTCCATAAGCCCTGTTCCATCTACAGTGCCCTTGAATGTTAGCGGTCTGTTCTTACATGTTCTCAAAGCTCATAACAACTTCAACCTTCGCTTTCAACCTTTCTGCCAATGACATTGTTGTTTTTCAGGTGAGTCAGTTCTGCAGACCTTTCCTCTAAGCCGGCATGTACATGCCACGTTTAGGATACAAATATTAATAATATTAATAGTAACATTAACAGAATGCTCTATTAACAAATAATGGTTAAATAGAACTATGAAATATGATCTATGATCAAATGATATATGTTTAAATATTCTTCTTATGGTTTTGTATTATGTGTTAATGTTTTTAAATGTTTTATGGTGTTTTGAGGCATAGAATTATTGCCATTGTAAACCGCCCTGGGTCGCCCGAATAATAATAAATGTATAGTTCACCTGCAATCTAAGAGCATCACTACAGCCAGAGCATATTATGAACCCAAACAATGATGGATCTGAACCAAACTTGGCATGCATACCTGATATGCTCACATTTGAATACTGTTGGGTTTTGTGGGGAATTAGCCTGGACATTTTGGAGTTGTAGGTACTGGGATGTATAGTTCACCTGCAATCAATGAGCACTCTGAACTCCACCAAAGATGGAATTGGACCAAACTTGGCACACAGAGTCCCCATGACCAGCAAAAAATACTGGAGGTCTTTGGGGAAAATTCACCTTGATTTCGGGGAGTTGCAGTTCAGAGAGCATTGTGAACTCAAACACGGGATCTTGAACAAACTTGGGACACATACCTGGTATGTTGAAAATTGATTACTGGAAGGGTTTGGGGGGGACTGATCTTCCTTTCTGGGATTTGTAGTTCACCCACAACCAGAGAAACGATGACCTCCACCGATGATGGACCTGGACTAAACTTGGCACACAGAATCCACATGACCAACTCAAGCTTCTGGAAGGGTTTGAGGGGACTGACTCGCCATAGTGGGAGTTATAGTTTACCCTACAACATGAGAGCACACTGAACCCCACCCATGATGCATCTAGAGCAAACTTGCCCAACATAACAAACTTTAAGTACTGATGGAGTTTCTCGGGGTTAACCTGGCATGATGGGAGTTGTAGCTCACCCACAACCTTATGCATTTTGTACAATTAAAAAATGACTTTTTCAAATAACCCGGGCAATACCAGTTACCCAAGCTAGTCTGTGAATAAACAGATAGATTAATGCAGTTTGGTACCACTTTAAATGCCTGGCTCGATTCAGTTGGAGTTACTTGTCTAATTTAGTCATCAAGGCAAGAGCAACAATGTTTTGCACTTACTAAGAAGCGACTCAGTGGAAAACCACATCCGATGAAGACATTTCTGGTTAAAGGGAGGAAATGACACACACAGAAAGAAAGAAAAAAAGAAAGAGCAACTTTAAAAAACATATTTTAAATATATATATGTTTTGAATATTTTGAATAGTTTAAATTACTTCTTTCAAATATAACATTTAAGTATTTATTTGGGGTGTTTTCACATACTCATTTAAAATGTATATCTTAAGCATGCATATATATATATATATATATATATATATATTTCAAAACTTTTATTATAAGTACATTTAAATAAGTATTATATATACATATTGTAAATATGTATTTTGACTAATTTCTTATTTTTTTAAATAATTATCTGAAGTATATATAATTTAAAGAATTATTTTTGGGATTTTTGAATACTTATTTCAAAAGTATATTTAAAATAACTTTTTAAAAATATATTAAAATATTGGTTTTATATATTAAAATAATTATTTTTATATATTGAAGTAATAATTTTTATAAATTACATTAAAGTAATTATCCTAAAATATATAATAATATTAATAATTTATTATTATTATTATTAATTATTATTATTTTAATATACATTATATATATATATACACAGTATGCATTTAAGTAAGTATTTAAAAATACACAAATAGTTATTTAAAAAAATATATTAAATATAATTATTTAATATATTTAGTTAGAATGTATTAAATAAAATATTTTACATGGACCTTGTCGACTGGAGGATTTCTGTATTATATTAATATTCTATATTATATTAATTAAAATATTAATGTAATATTAATGTTCAAGTCTGCCTCCCTCTCTGCCCCTTCCATCCCAAATGCCATTCATCCAATTAAAAAAAATAAGTTGATCAATCAATGAATCAATATCTCCCACCTTTCATTTCATCTCAATGTAGGCATCAGCTTTGCAAGTGTCTCTCTCAAAGAGGAAGCAGAGAAAATGCACAAACAAAAAAAGAAACCTAGTCTTTTAAGGAAATCCGCCTCATCAAATGCAGCTGGAGCCTCCTTTTAAGGAAGGGACCTCCTGCTTCTGCCAAAAAAGGAAGGCACCTTCTGATCCCTCCTGACAGATGGCCATCAAGTCTCATAGACATTATCAGGTCCATGGAGAGAAATAGGGCTGTAGGATATTATTTATTGTGTCAGAAGCGAATTGAGGGTACAGTTGTAATGTATTTAAAAACACAAGGATAAAACTTGGCATTATACTCAATGTCCTTTGACCACTTAGGCGATCCCTTGTAGTCCGAGGATGATGGTCCTCCAAGGTTGGTGTCCTGGCAGTGGGTCCGTAGGTGGCTGTGGAGCCCTATTCTTGATCTGTATCTTCTTCCGCAGTGAGGGCATTGGTTTCCAGGTGGAAGGCAGTCCCAGTCGGGGTTGGCTTGATGCACTTTCCTCTTGGCACGTTTCTCTCTTTCGCCCTCCATTCATGCCTCTTCAAATTCTACAGCACTGCTGATCACAGCTGACCTCCAGCTAGAGCGCTCGAGGGCCAGGACTTCCCTGTTCTCAGTGTCTATGCCAGTGTTTCTAAGGTTGGCTTTGAGCCCATCTTTAAATCTCTTTTCCTGCCCTCCAACATTCTGTTTTCCGTTCTTGAATTCGGTGTAGACCAACTGCTTTGGGAGATGGTGGTCGGCAGGGGCGGCTCAGCCCATTACGCGAAGTAAACATTTGCAGTATAGTTAATTTTCCCAGGGGCGCTCTTGAGGTGCTCTTGGGGGAAAATAGACCTTGACATATGCGAGTTGTAGTTACTGGGATGTATAGTTCACCTATAATCAAAGAGCACTGTGAACTCCATCAATGATGGAATTGAACCAAATATGGCACACAGAACTCCCACAACGAACAGAAAATATATTTCAGTGATTGGTTGGGGGGGGGGGATACTGTTTGCTTACCGTTGAAAATTACCTAGGGCCGCTTCTGGTGGTCGGGCATCCGGACAACATGGCCAATCCAGCGGAGTTGATGGTGGAGGACCATCACTTCAATGCTGGTGGTCTTTGCTTCTTCCAGCACAATGACATTTGTGCACTTGTCTTCCCAAGAGATTTGCAGGATTTTTTGGAGGCAGCGCTGATGGAATTGTTCCAGGAGTTGCATGTGACGTCTGTAGACAGTCCACGTCTCGCAGGCGTATAGCAGGGTTGGGAAGACAATAGCTTTATAAACAAGCACTTTGGTATCCCTACGGATGTCCCAGTCCTCAAACACTCTCTGCTTCATTCGAAAAAAATGCTGCACTCGCAGAGCTCAGGCGGTGTTATATTTCGGTGTCAATGTTGACTTTTGTGGAGAGGTGGCTGCCAAGGTAGCCGAAATGGTCAACATTTTCTAATGTTACACCATTAAGCTGTATTTCCAGCATTGGAGAGGGATTGGCTGGTGCCTGCTGGAAGAGCACTTTGGTTTTCTCAATGTTTAATGACAGACCAAACTTGTTGTATGCTTCTGTGAAGGTGTTAAGAGTGGCTTTTAGGTCTTCTTCTGAATGTGCACAGATGACGTTGTCATCAGCATACTGCAGTACTATAATAGATGTTGTTGTAACTGTTGCAACTCAGGATAGATTCACCTTGCTCAAAACACCACCACATACAAAACCTGTAGGTTTTGTAGTTTACTGAAGAAAAAGCAAAATCATAAACATAGAAATAAGGTTGCAAAAGTTCAATAGCCAAAACAGAGTCTTTAAAGCAAAGGCAGAGTTTCCAAGGTCCAAAGGCAAATAACATGAAGTATAATCCACAAGCATTGGTCAAACAAGAAGCCATGGCAGCATGACAAAGTCCCCAGAAACCAAAATCAAAACCAAAGTCCCAAAGAGCCAAAAGCTTTCCCCAAAAGCCGAGGCTATTCCAGAGAAGTTAACAGGGTGTAAGCAAAGTTGCACTGACAAAGGGTTGACTTCAATCACATCATTAAATATGCTTTTGTCATCGAGGGCATCCCAGACCCCTGCCTTCAAGCTAAACTGACCAGCCGCAGGGAGTTCCGGAGTTCCTGAATGCCAAGTTGGGCCAACTGATGAAATGTGCCCCAGCAGCAGCCTCAGCCAGGGACTCTTTACAGCCGTGTGCTCTCTCCTTTCACTCCTTTTGCCAGCCCAAACTATGTAACCAATCCCTCAATAAAAGCTAATCAAATTGTAACCTTAAACTCTTCAGCTTGATACTTTGTGTCCTGTTCTTGCCTGAAACTATCAAAGTACATGAAACTAACCTTTTCTGGGCCACGGGAGACTGCAGGCCTGCCTGGGATGCCTCCCTGGCGTCCCGGGGAGGCCGAATCTGCGCTCCTCCAAACCGCGGATATAGAAACCCCTCGTGCCCCCTATCTGCGAGATGGTGGATTGGCTCCATTTTGGTGGCATATTTTTCCTGGCTAAATTCTAACACTATCTGCTATCTCGCTTTTTGTATTTCGGGCTTCTGTGCTCGGGGAATAACCTTTTGAATTCTAAGAATTAAATTTTAAGGAAACAGCTGACTGTCAAGATCCAAGCCTCACTGCTGCCGCGCTGCCGCTTCTTCATCCTTGTGAAGCCCCCTGCCCTGGAGACTTGGTGCGGCTACCCCACGAGGCTCTCAGGGAACAGTCTGGCCACTGTGCTTCAGTCCTTGGAGGGAGCTATAGTTTCCCAAGGACCAAGGACTAGCTTTGATCTCAACGCTGCAGGACTCCATCCTTTGGCTCAGTGGAAATCACCAAATTCTTTTTTTGTGGCTTTGGACTTTCTGCCACGTGGCTTGGACCTCATTCTTCTGCAAAGAACTTGTTTTCACCTATGAATTCCCCCTGAATGAACTATGGACTCATGTTATGCTGAAGTTATAACTTTAATCAATTGCTCTGGTGGGTGGAGAGGGGGGTGTCTGATATGATTTTCTTGTGATTCTTATATTTCCAAATGTATTTCCCCTCATATTTCTGACCTTGCCCTGATCCTTTTTGCCCCTTTCCCCTTTCCTTGGGGGAAATCTACAAGGAAGCTGCCCTGGTTCTGAAAAGGCAATCAGCCATCATGAAAGAACTCTTATCCTGTGACATATTTGCATGGAAAATAGAACTGAAAATCCTTTTTGACATCAGAGTTGGGCCATCAGAAGGGATTTTCGTTTGGCAAAGTTCTAATCACATAACAATGGGGGGGGGGGGAGACGACCCTCGAAAAGTCTCCTTCTTCCAACCCTGTTTTTTTCTTTCAAACCTCTCAACAACGGACATCCACCCCAGCCTTCCTTTTTGTGTCATATCTGATTGCAACAGGAAAACCCAGATTAAGTAATCATTACTTATCGCAGACCTATCTAAGAACAATAAAGTTTATTTCTCTAGAAGGCTGACCCCGGACTCGAGAAGCCCCAGGACATTGGAATTCCATAACCCACTCAAGAAAGCATTGTTTCCCTTCATCCCGCCTCCCTTCATTATGATTCACCAGAGCACCGAGGCGGCAAGAGCTCCCTGATAGGCTCAAGCGCGCCGCAGGAGCTTTGTGATTGGCTCTGGTGCAGGGAGGACGGCCGAGCCTCCTCCCAGCTGTTATCACGCCAGCCAATCACCGTTGAGCCAGGAGGAGGGCGGGGAGCGGGAATTTTGAAACTCACAACCCTGTATTTCCTATAAAAATACCATTTATTTCTGTAACCACATGCTCTGCTTGGCGAATGATTGCGGCATTGCATCCTTTTCAGCTGAATCACTAATAAAAACATCTCGGTGGCGCTTCTTCAACTTTGGTGAGACTTTTTCTGGGATTTTAGGGAAATTAAAGTAGCTGAAAATCAGTCTTCTCTTTGCTCGCCAAAGTAGCGATCCCTCTTTGGTGGGGTCTCAGAGTCTCTCCTCCTGGGGTAGACCCTCCTCAAGTTCCTCTCGGTTTCACTTTCCTAGCATGAAAGCATTACATTGACCTCGAACCTCCCGTTTGTTAGCAAGCCGAGCACTTCGGCATACCCTTAATTGCAAACGGTCCTCCCTAACTAAATCCACATCACCTTCAAGGCCGACTAACTCATTATCCTAGGATTGGCCAGCCTGGGAATCGACAGGTACTGAGCTCACAGATGGAGCAGTCGACTCCTCCACCTGCAGCTGTGAAGTTTCACTCAAATCATGACCATCTTCTAAAAAAACATTCCTTTCCCTGGGAAACTGAAACACCGCCTCGTCTTCAGTATCAACACAGTCTGCATCAACAACAGGGACATGTTCAGAAATCTGTAACCCATCATCCTCCTTGTTCTGAGAAAACTCAGGCTCAGAAAGCTCAGGCTCAGACAGACACTGACCCGGGGTTCTAGAACCTGGAGGGCTGTGTTCCGTCCCTGAGACAGAACCGATCCCGCATTGTCCCAGGATGCCCCAGGATGTCCCTGTTCCTGGCACTGGTGCTGCTCCTGGCCCTGGGCCCTGTGGGCCCCTGTGGCGGCTGCTTGCAGTGCGATCCCTACTTCAACCTCCGCTTCGCCTCCTACACCCCGCACTTGAGTCGCAAGGCCTGGGGCCTCGGAGTTGTGCCGGCCGCCAGGAGGATGCTCTGCAGGTGGGCCCAGAACACACTCCGAGGCCTGCAGCTCGGGGTCCCTGCAGAGATCCGTAAGTCCAGCATACGTGAGGCCCTCCCCATTCTGCCCTGAAGGAGGACACTATCCGATCCCTCCTGGCAGAGAGTCATTCAGCCACATAGATATGAAGACACAGGGCTATAGAATCCTAGATTTGGAAGGGACTCCCCCCCCCCAAAAGGCTCTCTCCATTCTGCCCTGAAGGAGGACACCATCCGATCCCCCCCGGCAGAGGGCCAACCAGCCCCACTGACATAGACTTATAGCTATAGGATCCTACAATTGGAAGGGACCCCCTAAGAGTCATCCCTATACAGCCCTAAAAGAGGACACCATCCGATCCCTCCCGACAGAT